CGGAAGGAAGAACCATTGTGATAGGGGTGTTGAGATTTCTCCCGCCGAAAGCTATCATCGGACCTTCGGATTTCCAACTTGAAGGACTGGAAAAGGCTAAAAGGATCTCGCCGATAATTTTTCCTCCTCAAGAATCTAAGTAGCAGAAAAGCCAATGCTCAAGGAACACTTCTGGTAAATAAACCAAAAGCGTCGAGAGCCACAGGCAAAACCCTCAAAAGCTCTGGTGTTGTAAAATTTAGGGCGAAGAAGACAGAATCGACACAAAATTAGAAGAACACAGAGATTTAACAAGGTTCGACAATGTGCCAACATCTTCGAGAGCAGAGCGGCGAATTCACTATTTCAGAGAAATTACATATCCATAGGGTTACACATCTATTTATAGATAAAACCTACAGATAAATTTACAAACACACCCTCGCTCCCCCCAACTCACTAATCTAAGAGACACACCTCTTCACACCAAGAGACGCTTATTTTTATTCCAAAAGACACATCTCTCCATTTCAAGATACTCCAAATTTCTTGGTATATGAGTTATACCTAACAATTCTCCACATTGCGAATATCCAACCCCTATGGAGAAAAATCTCCACCTTGCGAATATCCAGCCCCTTAGGAGAAAAAAACATTATGAAGTTTCTTACACTAAAGTGGGTTGGGCAATCATGCTAACTAGCAACTGCAAACATTCAACAAGTTTAAGTAACGCAAAAATTTGTTGAAAATACCTGGTTTGATATGTTTTTCTACTGCATTTTCATCATATGATCCAACAGAGTGTACTCCACCTATAACTATACTCCCCAACAGTTTATAGATATTAACATTAGATTTCGTAGCTCGCAATGCCTAAAAAATTCTTTGTTGTGCTAACAATCTAAAGTTCTCTATTTCATCAAACTTCATGATCTCAAATTTTGCCTCAGACATTGTCATTTGAAATTAATCATGTCTGGCTCTATTTTTTCCTAGTGAACATCTTGCATGTTCCTCCACTGAGAACAAGCCCATCAAGGCCTCCTGCAAAGAACTCCTTGTTTGAAGAACCTGAACGAATCGATATTCGGGTTCAATGAACAAGAAGTTTTATCCTTTGGATATCAACGAACAAAAAGGTTGAGGCTAGGGCGATAGAACCGAAAGGTCTACGGACTCTATCCTTTTATTGTCACAGTCCCCACCACTATCAGGGAATGCACGCTAGCTCCTTCATTTGCAAAAAATGCACTAACAAGCTTTCAAGATGAGTCATTTACAAGAATACTTTCACGTCTATTTATAGTTGCAGATAATAGATAACTAACTTAGAAGTAAAAAAGATGCAGCGAACCCGAAAAGGCGCCCTGAAGAATACGAAGAATAATAAACTCGCCCGCTCATATTAACTTAGTGCATCCGATATTATTCCTGTAACTAACGCAAACTAACCTTTCTAACAGGCCCCATTAAGGATAGACTCGCCACGATCTACTCCCAAATGAAGAATTAACCCATCAAAATTGGGAGGATACTCATCAATTGGCCACCCGATTATTGGATCTCAACTGCAAATTATCTAGCATTATGAAGGATCAACATAAATTCTCTAATGTTCGTACAAGAGCTAAGAGTTTCAATGTTGCACCTATCTGACGATTCCCATCACTGTAAGACTTGATTTTAGAATGAAATATAAGATCAAACAAACATTTCTAAAAAAACAAATGTATTGTATCACAAGATATGAACTATTTTCTCTCCAGAAGATTGGAGGCACCAAGGCAGTGTGGCTAAAAGCCCCCAAGAAAATAACCTGCAGAAAAACGAAAGTCCTCTAGTGAAAGAGCATATCTAAAATTAACAATACATTTCTTCATAAAATAAAAACGGTTTATCTAAGAAAAAGATCACTAACTGCGAACATATTAATTCCAAAAAAATAAATAAATAATTGCTTTATATAGAGAAAAGCGAGCTATACTCAAGAACAAAGAAAAGCCCCTAATTCTCAGGGTTATAGCCACGACAAGTCTAAATAGCTCCCCTGCAATGATAGTGATAAGATCCTCTTAATATGTATTGCACAAGGCTTAATCCGTCAAAGGCGACAACTTAACTTGGAACCTCTGCTGAGCTTAGGCGTGTTGTAAGACTCAAACCAAAGGACATAAAGTCATCGATATATGGACTCAAGAATATCAAATTATATTATTATTATACTAGAATGAACCATCTATCACTCTAAGAACAAAATTCACTATTGACAAAAAAAAATCATTACATAAATACATATAAAAAAAATTGGCATCAACGGAAATTGTTTAAATTTTCTAAATAAGTGATCAACACATTGACCGCAAAAGATTAAAAAGAAAATGAATGCCTCAAAATAAAGTGAGGAAAACAAAAGCGCCAAAGAGCAAAAAGGAAGAAGGAAAAGTTGTCAAAGATTTTTCAAGAGAAGTGCATAAGACAAAGCCTATCACGGATCTTACTATTTTTCCAAGTAAAAAACCAAGAGTTTAGTCTTCTCCTTACTGCTAGAAAAAGAACTTGGCACCATTGGTAGCAGCTGCCTCTTACTAATTTTCCAAGCAAACGAATAAGAGTTGGTGCGCCCACCATGCAAAGTCCGCATGACGAAATGTCAAGGCCTACCCCAAATTAAGTGTCAAATATCCATTTCAACAACATCACACACTACTTCACATAAAAATTTCTTCCCAATGAAAAGATCACCTAAAATACTTATGTTACCATCACCTCTACCGTAAAGGGGTTAGGATATTTAGATGTCTTAAGTTGGAGAGCTTTTAACTATGACATTCTCACTACATCCACTATCTAAAATTAGTTTGCATACTTTTTCTTCGATCATGCATCGACTCCTAAAAATAGCATGACATTGAAATGTTGGTGGTTGTTTTGGAGCGATTAATATCTTCTTTAAGATGAAATTCAAAATTTCCCCTTCATCAGTAGCTATCTCCTAAATTTTTTCGGCCCCTTCAAATGGATATACTTCATTGTTTTCAGCTTCTGGTTTCAGTTCCCCTTCAACTAACTGAACTTGTCTACGATTGAGAAATTCATTATATCGATGCCCAGGCTGAAAACACAAATATTTTTGCAGTCCAAGATGATGATAAACATTATCAAGTTGGAAGATGGTTTTGTTAGTTGCTTTATAATCTCCACATGCCGTTGAAGAAGAACCTGCTTGGGTTGAAGCTGGAGATCGACAAAAGTTTTGTCCTAAACCTTTTGAAGTGTATTTTGGTGACTCATCAGCAACTTTACGGGCGATCACTAAACTTGAAGCTCTATTAAATTGTAATACCACCTTATAAGCATTGTTCACAAGTTGAAAGAGATACCACACAGTTTTCATTTCCAATTTATTCCCTATGGATTCTTTCAATCCTCCAATGTATCTAGCCAAAATTTGTTTATTGGATTCATTAAGATCATTGTGGGCACCAAGGGGGTAAAATTCTTCAATATAAGCACTCACCAATCGATTCTCCTGAGCGCAGCATTGATACTGAGCGTACAACAAATACATGTAATCTGATGGCAGGAAGTGGTTGCACATGAGTTGCTTCATCCGAACCCATCTTTGGATTGATCAACTTCCCCCTCATTGACAAGACTAAATGAGTTACTACCACAATGCTCCTGCTCCACCCTTTCAATCTGCAAGCAACTAACGGACCTGTTTCTCGAAAGATGTGTCCATGTACTCAAAATGCTTTGATGACTTGCTCCCAATCCAAGTAATCTTCAATGTGTAAATATCTGTCAAAATAGGGAAAATTGATATTTACCTTGCATTACAATAGACGTGATCTATTGGACAACAATTGTGGCCAGGAGCTTCGTCAATTATAGGTTCGTCCTCTCAATCAAAATATGAGAAATGAGTGTGTTTGCGATGTGGTCTATCGCCCTCAGAACTACCACGAGGTTCGGATCTTTGGGTACGCCTCCAATCGCGAGCCTTTATGGCAGTATCACCTGTAAACAATGTGGCCACCACTACAACCGGTGTGCTTGCCAGGTTTGCATTACCTCCATTCTTACTTGGTTGAATCTCTCACCACATTTCATGAATGAAGAGGTGAAGCTCTATAGTCAGACCATCCACCTTTTGTTCAAGATGAGATTGAGCCTCGCAAAGTGATTCCCAGCTAGGATCTTCATCATCAGCTGAGGTGTTACCGGCGTTCTCCATTTAACATATCTCTAGTGCCAATATGGTGTAGAGCCTAGTAATAGAAACAGTAACAATGGAAAAATCTACAACAAATGAGGAGAAAGAGACCTACCTTTGCAATACCATAAAAAAAAGGAATTCCTTCTAGAAAAAAACAAATTGTCTATATGCCCTCCCACCAACCTCTGGCAGAGATAAGAACACCACCATCAATTAGACAGATGGTCACCTATGGATAACCAACTAATAAGTCCACTAACATAATTAAAAAGGAACATTTAATAAAGCAAAGGAGGAAGCCATAGTACTAAAGATAAGTGGAGTTTTCCAGGTGAATGGCTACAGTAGGTTCCAAGTGAATGAGCTACATCAATTCATCTAAAGTTATATATTTCACCACGAATTAGCTTTGAACCTAAAGTTTTTAGATTTTGCTCTGAATTGGTTATAAATCGTAGGGTGAAAGTTAGATATAACATTTTTTAAGATCAAATTTTTGTTTATTCAATAATATAGAAACCATCAAGCACTCAAAACATTCATGATTTTAAATCACATATGACAAACGGAAGCTACCAAATAGTGTTTAATGCCTATGAAAGTGTTAATTTCAGGTATATCAAAATGTTGACCAAAAGGATGGATCTCTCTATATTATCAACATACAAACATTTACAGATGACAATTATATAACAAAGATAGCAAGTCGTGTCCACACTTAAGAGTAGCCAAAGCTACAAATTCGTGTGATTAAAAAATTTAAGTTTGGTGGATATAAATGATGAAAATAACTTTATACCAGAAATGGGGTTGATCCGCAATAACTCAAGACAATGTTTGCACCCCCTTCACCTTTGTAGCTCCAATCCTTTGCATCCTCGGACGTTAAGGTCATTGCCATCACATACAACTAAAAACAATTATACTAAACACGTAAATGACAAAATATTATTAAATTTATAAAAAAAATAAAAAATGAGCAATAAAATTTTCTGATGGCAATGGATGAGACAACCAAAATTCACCATCCAAAATAAAACTAAATAAATAAGGAATCTGCCAAGCAAACAAAAAAGGCTAATTTTAGAAAAACAGCATAAGTATGATAACAGAAGACCAATTGTACTGTAAGCCGTCAAAACTCTCCACTTTAGTTTCACCCTTAAATTTTAAAAAGTAAAGACGAAAACTGCAATGAAAAGAAAAATCAAGATAAAAAAAATAAAAGTGACATAACGCTGTATATTTGATCTACATGCATAATGAAAAAGACTAACTTTCAAAAAAGCATGCATGTATACACAATTATTTTCCGACTACCAAATAAATCTCTAATAATCATTCTCATGCTAGATTTAAGCAAAAGAATAACCAAAAAGCTCGACAAAATCCATAAAAACATTAGCACACAAGTCAAAGCCAAAAGACATCCAAAAAAAAAATTGAAAATGGGGTAGAAAACATTTACTATCATGTCGCAAGTTCCCGCTAAAGATCAATCGAATCTGGAAGCCAAACATAGAATTCAAGAATTTGGAGTTTATTTGCAAATAATGGAATGTATAATTCAGTCGGGGCTTTGGAAAGCATCAGAAGACGTGATTTAGAACTCGGGGGGCTTGATAAGAAGTGAAGGAAAGAATGAAAATGAAGAAGGAAACCAAAGACATGCACAGTTTTGCAGTGAAAGGAAGCATAGGGAAGAAGTTTAGATTAGGAGAGGCTAGGGAATTGGAAAACGACAGAGGTTTATGATCCATAGCCATTGTTAGCAGAAATTGAGTAAAAGTAAAGCAAAATTCGACTTCAATCCTGTAAAATGATAAAAACGCACCCGTTTTACCTTCAGTCACGAAGTTACTCAATCTTGGAATACTGCAGATTTAATTTGAATCCACAAAGGATTTAACCTCTCGTCAACTTCACAGGTCGTCGTCCTCGTCGAAGCTTGCCCCCAGCGAGGAACTGTCACAAACTCCTCTTCTCACTCTCAAGCCACCGATCCCGCTCACGAACCAATTTTCCCTTCACACGCGAGAGCTTCTATTGGTTGAGAAAAATTTGCGCAAGTAAGACTTTCGGGGTGGTTATTCAAGGTTGTCGGGGGCTTATATCTAACTTCCCTATTCTAACTTCCCTAACTTCCCTATTCTAACTTCCCTATTCTACCTTTAAATTAAAGTTATAAGAATACAGAAACCTGAAACTTATTAGAAGATACAAATATGTTACAAAGAAGTTATAGGTGGTATAACACGTATATAACCCCTCAATACTCTCTAAATAACCTTTGTAACGTACACAGCGTTGCTTACGTCTTACCTACCCAAATTTTTCTCGTATTACTTTGGAACACTCCAATTAGAACCACAGAAATGGGACCCGCTCTTTAATTTTAATTTAAGTGATTTTAATTAGATACCGGAGCCCTAAACCCAATAAAAAAATCCACACACCTACATTCAGCGAATGAGGAGTTTGAGCATACAAAAAAAATGAACACTTAGAAACCAAATTGGAATTAATGAATATTTATAAGGTGCAGTAACTGTATGGACAAGTGAAGACTTTTCATAAATTAATTGATAAGGTGATATTCTCATGGACAATTTTATGCAGTCTTATATGCCCATAAAACATCATCTAATTTCATCGCTCAATCTCTCTTGTTAGCATGCACTGACTGTCCAAAATCTTTTTAATCTCGGTGTTAGAAATTTTAACTTGTCAACCAATTTAGGGCGATTTTATGTCTAATCACTTATTTTTAAAAAAATATTAGTATTTTTCTGTTTTAGAATTTTTCTATTTTAAAAGTGACAACCCCTTCACTTATCACAACTTTAGGAGTCCCAAGTATATTAAAAAAATATATATTTATCTTGAAAAATTTTATAACTATTTTGAAATCAAATTTAAGTGTAGCTAGAACTTCAATATTTAGATACATCATATTTTGACACCAAAATGTATTGATTCTGAGAAAAAATGTATAAAAGGTCCCATAATAGCAACTCGATAAACATTTAAAATTTTTGCTTCTAAGATATATTTAAGAAGTATTTAACCTTTTTTTTTCAATATTACCTAACCATTTACATTTATCACACTGTATAACAAATTTGTTTACATCCTTAAATAGTGCAGACTAATAAAATCTAAATTGTAATATATTAGAGCTGTTTTGTATGCTCTGAAATGCCCCCTAAATTTTGTTTTGTGACACTTTCTAATGATACTTTCATTTTCTTTTAAAGGCACACACAACTTAATAATTTGATCTTTTCATTTTTTAAATAAATACAAGTCATCCAAAAAAAAACTTAGCCATGGATGAATATTTTCATTTAACTATAAGTCAACCAATAGAGAACAATATCACCATAATAAAACTTATAATATATGTATACCACGATACAAATAAATTCAAGATAAACAAATACTCATCAAGAAAACTATCATTAATCTCTAAGTGTTCTAAGTTCCGATTTTTTTATTCTATTTAAGATAATCGATTAGCTACTTAACTTTTAAATATTTTTATATCATGAATCTCAATATCAAATTCTATAAAAAAAGAATCCAATATAAAATTATAGGCTTAGCATCTTTCTTTGCTAGTTGCATGATCCATGCAAAGTATCATCTTAGTTCAAATCATATGGGATTTAAATTTATCAAAGGAAAACTATGACTAATAATTCCTTTTTAGTGTTTTCATAATTAACCAGTCATTTAAGGTTCTGTTAACTTATTTAATAACATTTTAATAAAAAATTTCTCCTTCGCCCTAACATGGGTCTTAAAGATAGTCACTTGTGTCACACATACGCTCAAAATGATAAGTCAAGTTTGGGGCTACTATAATAGGTGCATTTGCTAGCAATTTTCTTAAGATATTTAAGACCTATGTTAGAGGCTGCTATAATAGGTGTATTTAAATTAGTGTCTCCTTCTTCTGTTTTTGAGCTAATGAAATTTCTTATTATCAAAGGATGATTTAGATTTCCCCCCTTTAGTCTTTGGTGACATGGATCAATGAAGAAAATAATCAAATAAGTGATAAGTTTAGCAAGGGATGCAAAGATCAAAATGCAAGTTTTACGCTTTAAATGATTAAATCATAGACAAATCAATGATCTGAATCTAAAGACATAAACATCACCACGCCAACTTAAGATTTCAAGCTAAAATCTCAAAAATTGCTAATTAATATTGAAGGGAAAAGGAGAACAATATTTACCTTAGAAATGCAATATTGATCCTTCAAAACCCCTCGATCAAGAGAAAATCAAAAGATTTTGGATGCCCTAAGAAAAGTGGGATAAAATCAGCTCAAACAAAAAAAAAACTTTTGCTTTTAAACAGATATGGGCACCTGAGCACCAAAAAAATCTAAAATAGGAACAGCGTTGCACCTCAGTGACGTGATAACAACATCTAAGAGCTACATTACAGTGTCAGTGGTGCCTAGGTAACCAAAAAGAAGTGTCTAGGCTCTTAACTAAGCACATGACTCAAATGTGGTGCCCCAACGTCGTGATAGTGGTGCCTATGTGCCCAAAACTGAGCAATTGGCGCTTAGGCGCCCAAGGGATGACTCTTAGGCGCCAAACTAACTTCAACCAAATTCACCTCATTTCATAAAATGTTTCCAACTACATAATAATTTCATAACAAATCACCTCAAACAAAACTAACACAAGAAAAATAAGTAGCAAATACTGAAAAACACATCAAAAAAATATAAGATAATGAAAACATAAAATAACAATCATAAACATAAACTTGGGTTGCCTCCCAAGAAGCACTTAGTTTAGTGTCCTCAGCCCGACAATGCTAGATATTCTAATTAGGCTGATCCAAAGTCAAAGCTTTAATAAGACCATGTTTCTCTTCCCCTAAATAAAGTTTTAACCTTTGTACATTTATCTTGAACTCTCTTCCATTAATAAGATCAGCAATATCTATTGTTCCTAAATGGTAAATCTTTACTACAGTAAATGTTCCCAATCATATGTATTTAAGTTTTCCTGGAAATAGTTTTAATCAAGAATCATATAATAAAACTTTCTGTCCAAGCTCAAAATTTTTTTTATGAATCTCTTGATCATAACATTTTTTCATTTTTTTCTTTATATAACTTTGCATTTTCATAAGATTTCTCCCTAATCTCATCAAGTTCATTTAACTATAGTAATCATTTCTCGGCAACATCTTTTATATTAAAATCGAACTCTTTAATCGTCTAATATGTTTTATGCTCAAGTTTGATAGATAAATGGCAGGTCTTCCTAAATATGATCTTATAAGGAGACATTCCTATAAGAGTTTTATAAACAGTCTTATAGGCTCATAAAGCATCATCAAATCTCTCAGCCCAATCCTTTCTATTAGGTTTGATAGTTTTCTGTAGGATTTGTCTTATCTCCCTATTAGATACCTCAACTAGTCCGCTAGTTTGAGAGTGATATGCATTAGATATCTTATATTGTATTCCAAATTTTTCAACAAGTGTCTATATCCTCTTATTCATTAAATGGCTTCCCCCATCGCTAATAATCATCCTAAGCATTCCAAATATGTTAAATAAATTATTCTTCAAGAATTTAGAAACACTCTGAGTTTCATGATTTGGGAGAGCAACAGTCTCAATTCACTTCGACACAAAATCCATTACAACTAGAATATAGAGATTTCATAGCACGGGTATAAAGGATCCCATGAAATTTAAACCCCAAATGTAAGAAATTTCTACTTCCGAAGAATAATTCAAGGGCATTTCATCTTTCTTAGAAATATTATCTACCCATTGACACTTGTCATGTGTTTTAATATAATCATTTACATCCCTGAATAGAATAGGCTAGTAAAATCTTGATTGTAAAATCTAAGATGTAGCTCTACAAATCCCAAAATACCCTCCAAATTTAGAATCATGACATTTCTTAATCACATCATGGGTCTCTTCTACAGGCAACAAATGCCTCTTAATTATCTTATCTTTACACTACCAATATAGATATATCCCAAAAATAATATTTGGCATCGTGAATAATTTTTTTCCTCTTGTGATAACATAGTGCATAGAGTAAAATATCACTAATAATAAAATTCACTATGTTTGCATACCATAGAGCACTCAAACCAGAAACAACAAGGAGTTGCTCATTAGAGAAATTTTCATCAATATCATAATCTAAAGGAGAAAATTTCCCATGATCAAGCTTAGATAAGTGATCCGTCATTCGGTTTTCAAAAAAATTTCCATTCACCACTTCGATATCAAAATACTGCAGCAACAGGACCCATCAGATCAATCATGATTTAATATTTTATTTAGAAATTAGATATCAATTTGTTGAACGATCGGTGAATAGTGCACTTGGTTCCAATCAAATTGGGTCTAAACTTATCAAAATCATATACTATAGCTAAAAGCTCCATTTTGGTAGTGGTATAGTTAATTTGAGCATCATTTAGAGTCTTACTAGCATAATACATAACTTTAAAAACTTTGTCATGCCTTTGTCCTAATACAGCCCCAATAGCATAATTACTAGCATCACACATTATTTCAAATAGTTTTTCCCAGTCACGTGGTACTATTATAAGTGAAGTGACTAACTTTTTCTTTAATCATTCAAATGCTTTTATGCATTCTTCATTAAAATCAAAATTTGTATCTTTTTCTAAAAGTTGGCATAGAGTCTTAGTTATTTTTTTAAAAAAATTTATCTAGCGCCTGTAAAAACCAGCATGTCCTA